AAAACATGCTGGCTTCTGCAACCTAGTTTAATTGAAAACCTCCCTATGAATCATTTTTCTTAATTTAATTCTACTGTTGCATTGACACCAAATTTGCATGTGTATGTGGGAGGGAAGGTGAGCTTTTCCACATCATCCCTTCTCCATTGCACACAAAAATGAACACGTAAGCCTGAAAGGTCCGGATGAATTCACAAATCTGCTGTTCCCTTTGAGCATCTGTCTGTCTGACATTCTTAGCTTTACAAGTATGTCATCTGTCTGTAGTTGGTATTTTCCTGTTTTAATAAATAATCAAGTGAAATTTTCCTTTTCTACCTCTTGGGAAAGATGTAGCTAGCAGATACTACCTGTTTTCATGGACAGAATATCTGTTCTCTAACAATACTGAGAAACAACTGCTGCTATTGCTTTGGTTGAAAGAAGAACATGCTTGATTCCTGCCTGTGAGCTTACCCCTCTCCTCTGATCTGAATCTGATCCAATTTCTGGGGATAGTCCAGGGGTCTGAAACTGTGAGTTTAGCTGCTGAAAGAGGACTTCCCAAGCGTTGAGCATCTCTCCTAGGCACGCGCTTATTTCCATTGTGAAATGGAAGTTTTCACTGAGTTTCCCTCAACCGAACTTGGCCTCCCGCAGGCTGGGGAGCGTGCCCACCTCCATGCACAGCACCGGTCATCTCTGCAGCCGACACACGCAGAGCCAGCTCCTTCCTCTGGCTTTTCCAGCCAATTGCCATGTACCTGCTCTCCTCCTAGACGTAATATTAGCAGAGGAAGAGAGCTTTTCAATCAAAGTTTCTTCTAAGCTTTTGATCTAGAAGTCAAGGAGATTTGAGAAAAGGGTCCTTGGCCTGACAGGAGAATCATCTAACTGGAATCTGTAAAATTAATCCACCAATTAAGGTATGACGATGGGCGCACAGCCCCATTTCACTGTTCCTAGACAGCTGGAGGGGAGGGAAAACATCAGTTAACTTCCAGCCTCTGTCATAAGACAAGCTGAGTCAGGTGATTATAGAGGTCCTTTTTCTGGGTCAGGAATAAACAAACTCATTTTCATGATATTGTCCATCTCAGATCTCAGCATCTGACTATTGCTGTCTGCTGTCAGCAGCCTTGGGAATGCCAGTCCACTAAGCCAGTCACTGTAAGAGGAGTTTAACGCCTGCTTGGTGTAATCCATGAGCTCCGAGCGGATGGGGTGTGTGTATCATTTGCATATGCTCACTTCTTAGACCCCACCCAGTTAATTCAATTTTCTTTTTTATTATCCACAGTTCAGATATATGTGCAATAATCAATAAGAGATTGAATTCCAGCAAAATATTCAGCTTGGAAACAGTACCCATCAGGGATGTGTTAATGTCTGATTATAAACTGTAAAAACCAGTGTGCCACACAGGGTTGCTGTACATGCATATTTCTTTTGAAATATGATATTCTCAAATAATATACAAATTAAGGGGCTGTTACTCTTGATCTACGCCTTTAGAGTACAGCAAGTCATAACATCTGAGAAGCGGGGTCTTGACTTTTTGCTTCCTAAGATGAACTTGCAGATAAACATCACAGCAGACAAAAGTATTTCCTTCATGTGACATTATTAATAGTTCGTGAAGGAGAACATCATGAAGGAGGATAGGGGCTAAACATTCCCTTCAGCTTCATGTAGGTCATATCACCTCCTGGTCTAAGTTCTGTTTCTCGTAGGCAGGAGTGTGTCTCTACCTATAGACTGAACCCAAAACCTTACAGATCCCAAACTGGTCTTTATGTGATAATGGTTTTCAGTCCAGTAACTGACTTAAAGATGAAATTAATTCCCTGTTTTATAACTTAGCCTTTAGTACATGGATGTATTGCACAGCTTACCTGAAAGAACCATGCACGTAAAAAGCTAAGGTCCTTTAAGCATAGCTATGTTATATGTATTCTGAGGAGCTATTTCTATTTTAATCATGTTTTTAAGTAAATGCTAGCGCTTATGGAAGATGTGTCATTGGTGGCTCTGGAAATTGAGATTCCATTTCCTGGTTTGTTTTTCAACTGTTAACCTGAGCTTATATGGACATTTCTGTTGTAATTCTAAAAGCTGTTTGGTTTTCAGGATTTTTTTGCAGACAACTAGTCCTTCCAGGGTAAGGTGCAGTAAATTTTTTGTGAGGGACTGGTCATATATCTTAATTTTATGAAGGCTATTATATATAGGCTTAATTTAGGATTTTTTAATATTTATAATTAAGCTAGTTGAATGGGAATCAGGTTTTCCCAATAATGGATTAGAATGATGCTTTGCAAAGCAGTAAGAAACCCAGGCAACTGAATTTTAATTGATTACTACTCACCTGTAGTATTTAATATATGGTTCACTTGACAGTTGTACACTTTCTACACAGAAGCTCAGCATTTTCAAAACCGGGTGCTTAAATTAGAATAGTAAGTGCTAGTTGAATGGGAATCAGGTTTTCCCAATAATGGATTAGAATGATGCTTTGCAAAGCAGTAAGAAACCCAGGCAACTGAATTTTAATTGATTACTACTCACCTGTAGTATTTAATATATGGTTCACTTGACAGTTGTACACTTTCTACACAGAAGCTCAGCATTTTCAAAACCGGGTGCTTAAATTAGAATAGTAAGTCCTTTTTTAGTTCCAAACTGTAGCTGGCTTTAGGGAAGTAGACTGTAGGGTAAAAGTAGTTTTGGTCCTCTAGCTATCAATTAAATATCCTGTTCTGATAAATACTGATTACAAAAATTCTGAACGGTGGGAAAGGGAACAGCTTTCACTTCTGGTAAATAAAAGACTTGGTATCAAGACTTCAAACAATAGGTTCAGTGTTACAAACACACAAGATGTAAAGGCAGAATAACGAGATCTCAAGGAAAATACCCAAGATGTGTCATTCACCTGGCAAATGTTAGTTCAGGGGCCTGATGATCCTGTGTTATGAAGTGATCCTTAATCATGAACTAACCCGCTTGGTTCTGGATGCTTTTTTCTTCTCACCTTCTCTTTCCATTCAGTGCAAATATAACTCTGGTGGTTCCCAGTTCAGTCCATATTGTATAAACTCCTGTCCTTACTACCATGCACTCATGTGAACAAATAAACTCTCAAAGAACCCTCTCAAATTTATGAGATCCACCATATCCAATGAGTATTTCAGTTACGATTTTGGGCATTTCGAGACAGTTGAGGAGAGCAAGGAATTTGACGTCATCAATCTGGAAACCTGGTGGGAGCTTAAAACATAGTAATAACGAGGGCGCTCTTGTTTGCATTAGCCATAGCCGTGCTATCAGCATTGTAGGATGCACTGTGCTCTTATCGGAGAACCGTGATCTCACAGAGCTTCATGAGTTATTTGCCAAATGTGATTGCTGTACAACTGGCAGATGCAGACATTTGCCCTTCACAGGAGATAATAGCAAAGCTAGTACTGAGCTGCTCGCTAGTAAGGCGAAGGGATGATACGAATGCTCCCTGGTCAACTCCTTTTTTTGGGTGATTTTTTTTTTAGTATACCAATGTATACTTGTGTGGAAGTCAAGAGGTGTCTCTATAGGGAAGATACATGTTTGTGGAGAAGACAAGAAGATGGAGAGATGACGACTGAGATGATTATGTCACTATGATACCTTAGGAATGGTTGAAAGTGTCTCCCTTATAGATGTTTGCCAGAGTATTGGAAAAGTTCCAGGTGCTGCCATTTGCCTGATTATTCTATAACTAACTCCATACAAACGCAAACAATTTTGGATTGACCCTTTGCATTGCACTCGATGAGTTCATGATCTCACATTGTAAATATTCATTATTCTTATGACATGGAAACTAATTCTAAATGGAAAAAAATGCACAGAGCATCCCTTCAGACTTAGAGAAAAGAAAACCAGCTTTCAGGAAAATGCAAGGAATATGAATGTCTTACAAACTTTATTACTGTTTGTATGTTTTACTTTTTGCATGGAACATAACCTAATGGTATTCGTCATTAAATCAAGTGGAGAACTGGATCAACTGCAAATGCAAAAGAAGTCCAAAGAGAGAATATTTTCTAAATCTTCCACAAGTCTGTTGGTTTGGGGAGGAAAGGCATAAATGGCAGGGAGAGGAGGCAGACAAAGTAGCCTTTTTTGTTTTGTTTAACATAGTTTTCTTTTTTACTTTTGTGGTTTGTAGGTTATGGAGGCTTTATGTGTGACTTAAAATGCTCCTCAGCCAGAATTACTGCTGAACCGAAGCCTTCTTTGACCATACTAATGACTCTTTACTGAAATAATTCATGTACTGGCATCCGATAACTTAAATATTGCTATTTGCAAATAGTCCTGAACTGATTTCATCTCTCTGTTATTTCTAACTTAATGGTTCACCCTGTTCTGTTTTCCAGTTGAGCTATCAGCTGCTTAACAGGAATGTTTTACTTGTGTTAATTTAGAAAGTGTGATGTCCAGTGCCAGCTGTCCCATGCCAGCACAGCGTGTACTGTCCTTTAAGCCAAACAGACACAGCTTAATGGCTGACGAGTTGAACATTGGTATTGTCGTGAATGTTTTCCATTAACGCCTCTGCAGGTAGGGCAGCGGCGTTATGGAAAGCCACGCTTGAGAAAAAACAATGGCATCTTTGGGGTCTTAAAAATTAATAGTAAAAAATGTAAATAGGGGAGAGGATAAAATTTTTGTATTGGGAGCCACCCTTGCACCAACACATGCTTAGCGGGAAGTTTTAGGTGGCTGTTTGTCTAACATAGGGGGGCCATAACTCCCCCCCGCCCAGTGTTTTCCTTCCATTTCTAACTTCATTGAATTTCTTTTTCTGGGGACTCATGTCGTTTTCTCTTCCACCTTCTCTCTTTCCACCCTACTGCATGCCTCTTTCCTTGGTCTGACCTCAGAGAGGAGGAAGAGGAGGAAGAGGAGGAAG